CACACAGACAGGGTCGTCCCAATATGCGTCTTTGCAATTTGCATATAGGCAAAAACGCATAAAAACTGCAAAAACGCATGATCGCACGGGCCCGTCCAGTGCGCGTCGCCAATGATTCAGGATTATTTTCACCAAATTTTTGTTTATTTTCTATGGGAGTTATGAAATAGGAAAACAGGCATGCCGTGTGACGCATGTGAATTTATGGCACCTGTGAGGCTAAAACCTGCACCACCGCATTCAGTAGCAACTGAGATCTCGGAGCGGCAGGTGTTTCTCTTGAATCTACTGACTGTAGTCCTTCCAAGCAGTGAATCGGTATCGAAGCTGGTACAGGAATGGTTAGCTGTGGCGCTGGTGCATCATTTTGCGTGTTGTTGAACTATAAATGAGCGGGTGAGGATAGAAGTAATAAAACCCAATCTGGAACGCACCAGGCGAGCCGGTGAGATCATGTGTTTTTGCATCAGACTTGAAGTAATCACACCTACCTTCTGCGCCCCAAGCCCTAAATCATCCTAAATTTTGCATGAACGGAAATAAACAATTTCCTTTTAGCGGCCAAAATAAACAATCCCCGTTTTTTGAAAAGACCCAGCTGTGCAGTGAAAAATTTTCCCGCTAAAAATTTTAGTGTCGGTACACGAAAACCATGCGTACCTGGAGACTGAATTTGAAACCTTTGAGCTGTATTTGGACGGAGAATGTTCTCCCAAAATCTCAGCTTTCCAGCTCTTCTGGTTCCCGAGTTAGCAATTTTCCCGCCAAAACTTTCACAGTGCCGCACGTGATCTGGAAGCATAATTGGGAGCTGGGTTTGAAATCTTTAAGTTGTGCATGGATTGTGAATATCCCCCTAAAATTTCAGCTTCCGAGCTTGCTGATTCCCAAGTTAGTCGTTTTCCCCCTAAGAAATTTCACGATGCCGTACGTGAGAACCACGCATGACTGAGAGCTGATTTTGATAATTTCAAATTGTGTATGGGCTGGGAACATCCCCTAAAAATTTCAGCCTCCCAGTTCTCCTTTTTCCCGAGTTAGCAATTCTGTCGGCTAAAAATTTTCACGGAGCCGTGCGTGAGAACCACGATTGCCTGGTGGCTGATTTCGATAAATTTGAGTTGTGCTTGGGCATGGAATTTTCTCTTCAAATTTCAGCCTCCCGTCTTTCCTAGTTCCCGAGCTAGCAATTTTCGCGCCAGGAACACTTACGGGGCTGCGCACGAGAACCACGCATACCTGAATCTGAAATCTTTGAGTTATATGTAGGCAAGAAACACGACCTCAAAATTTCAGCTTTCTATCTTTTCTCGTCCCCGCGTTAGCAATTTTCCTGTAAAAAGTTTCACTTTCTAGTACGCGGGGCACAGGCTTGCCTGAGGTTTGATATCGCGACCCTGGTGTGGCATTTGACCGAGGATTCCACTAGCAAAATTTTAGCGCTGAAGCTTGCTTCATTGCCGAGTTGAAATACCCGAAGAGACGAACGCACACACACACACACACACATACAGACAGGATCGTAGCAACATGCGTTTCACGCGTTTTTTCATACGTGCAAATTGCAAAAAGGCATAATGGGAAGAGGCTTTGTGTGTGTGTGTGTGTGTCTGTGTGTCTGTGTGTTCGACCTTTTTGTCACTCACTTTCAACTTAACAACCAGAAAAGCTAGAAGGCTGAAACTTTGGGAGTATGTGTCTATACTATTCGCGACCCTCCCGTTTCAATACACCTGGGTGTAGGCGGACGATGATATTGAAACGGGAGGGTTGCGTATGGTCTTAAAAAGAATGCAGATTTTCTGGCAGGAAAGCAATCTCCGGAAACAGACAAATTAAGGGGCTGAAATGTTGCAGAGATATCCCATGTGCATGTATGAGTTAGATTTCAAATTCAGCCTCGAGATATGCGTAATGCTCATTAAGGGCGTATGAAAGTTTTGGCGAGAAAATTACTAACTCGGCGATCAGAAAAGCTGGAAGATTTTAGAGGACCAGAAAAGCCGAAATTTTGAGTGAATGTCCCCTGTCCAAGTACAACATAAATATTTTAAATCCAGCCCATAGGTATGCGTGGTTCTTACATACGAGCGCGTGAATATTGCTAACTCGGCAACCAAAAAAGCTGAAATGCTGAAATTTAAGGGTAATGTTCCCTCTCATGTGCAATTTAAAAGTTTCAAATTCAGCTTCCCAGGCACGTGGAGTACTCACGTACGGGCATGTTAAAGTTTTGGCGGGAAAATTGCTAACTCGGCGATCAGAAAAGCTGGAAGATTTTAGGGGAATGTTCCTTGTCCAACTTAATTATTTCAAATTCAGCCTTGAGGTGTGCGTGGTTCTCACATATAGGCACTTAAAAGTTGCGGCGGGAAAATTGCTCACTGGACAGCTAGGTTATATTCAGAGAACGATTGTTAGATGGAATTGTTTATTTACTTTGTGCAAAATTTATGGTGATTTACGCTAATGATTGCAAAAAGTAGGCGTAAAGCAACAACCATTCATGCAGTTAATGACCTGAGTACTTCAAATCCGGTGCAAAAACGCATGATCGCACGGGCCCGCCCGGTGCGTTTCAACCTGGTTTGCAATCTGCTTGTAGGCAAAAACGCATAATTAAAAGGTTTCTTCCCCAAATTCAAGGCTGCTTGAAAAATCGCGAATTGGAAACAAAACACCTCGTATTAGTGATGTTACTAGGATGCTCTCATGTGGCTGCTGCAGCTACGCCAGGTTCTTTTATCCTGAGCTACATACCTCCGAGTTTTTTTCAGCAATCAAGGAGTTTTTTCTAATTCCGCTGAAATTGTATGGAAGCCCCTAAGGTACCTAAAATGCTGAGCATATTTCAGCCATGCAAGTTAAAAATTGCATCGTTGCCTCAAATGAGCGGTTGAAAAGGAAAAGAACACCTGTGAAGTTGAAGGTTGTGACAGCGAATCATTCATAAACTGAAAGCTTGTACTGGTAACTGTTTCTTTCCAATTCGCTGGCTGCGATCCTTGCCATCTTCGAATTCTTGATGGTATCATTCCTGGGAAACATGTGCTGGGGGAGGACAACTGAGGCACTGCCGGATCACAGAGTATGTTCTGGGCCTGAATAAACAAGCTTGTTTTCAACAAAAAAAGCTTCATTCCATTATTAAAAGCAATGCGTATTGTTAGGGAATTGTTTTTGCGAGGTTGTGAGTAAACTTTGTCAACCACTTTCAGCGCAGCAATTGGGAAAGCTGGGAAATTGAAATTATATGTGCCATCCTTCCTTTCGTAACCAAGCCCGCGTGTATCTAAATCTCACACACGGAGGCCTGAAAAAACATGGAAATATTATGGCAAGAAACGACTTCAGGAGCTAGCAAACGTCGGATGGAGTTACAAGTGTGTGCTACAGATTTCAAATTCAGTTATCGTAAACGTTTGCATTACGAGTACAACTTGAAAATTAATTAAATAACTGGCCAACGCACAGGCTGTCCGTGCGAAGAGGCCTTTTTTGTATAGTTCCCCGCAGATATTTTTCGCTAGCGCCACTGTTTTTTCCAACAGACGCTTCTAGCTAAAAGAATTTCAGACTGGTCGCTAGGGCTGTCATGAAACATCTCTTCAAAATCCAGTCCTCTAGCTTCTCAGGTTTTTGAGCTATCAACTTATCCGAAAAAAACTTCCGCGGGCCCGTATATGGGTGCCACGCATACCCGGGAGCTGGATTTCAACTCAGTGAGACTGAGGTGGGCGGGGAATATTTTCTTAAAATTAGAGTCTTCTAGCTTTTCTGGTTCGCGAGTTAGCGACTCACCCGCAAAAAACTCCCACGGGCCCGTACGTGAGTACCACGCTAGTAAGACCCCATTTTGGGGATTGGAGCCCGTACATGCATGTAGATTAAGTTTCCAAAGTTTCAGCTCTGTAGCTTTTGTAGGTCTCGAGATGAAAAATCGGTACAGAGGCCCAGCGCGCGCGCACACACACACAAACACACACAAATAAACAAACAAACAAACAAACAAACACACACATAGACAGTCTTTCGTCAATATGCGTTTTCCGCACTGCATAGCTGCAAAAAACGCAAAAAAAAATGATAGCTGTGATTTTGCCAGAATATTTATTACTCAGTACGTTCCACTTTTTTATGCCTTAAGCATACTTCACGTTGATCAGCTGCGATTTATAGCGTGGCTCGCCATATATGCTGCTGACAGCTTGCTAAGCTATTTTGAAAAAGCTGCATCGCATAACGGTCAAAATGGCATTCGCTTCGTTTTCTAAAGCGACCACCATCTTAACGATTCTCCCTTCAAATGCATTCGACGAGATTCAGCCATTCCGAGCTTTCGCCCTTAATGTGATGTGGAACTTCACTGTCTTGTATCGAACCCTCTTACTCCCAGACCACGACGAGATGCCTCGTCAATCAAAAGGTAGATAAGAAATCATGTGTGAGGGTTCAAAAAATGAGTGTGAACAGAAAAATTGTCTTCTCAAAAACTGCATAATTTACTGCTCGTTGAGGACTTTCCTCGCCGCATCTGGCAGTTCCCAGACAATGCATAGGGTCTCTTTTGCACACTGGAAAGCACTTGATGAAAGGAAACGGATAGAATCTACTACTGTTAAAAATGGCCAGTTGTTGAAGGTGAAGAGTAAAGGCTCTACCGATAATCCCGGCAGACGACCAGATCCTGAACTGTCATCTGTTTCTTCCCAGTTCGCTGACAGCAGACTATCCAGATATCGCGCTGTTTCTGGTGTCCATTCCGGCGAAATACAGCCACGAGAACCAGGCTGCTGAGCTGGTGAATAACGCCATGTGTCTTGGACCTGAATAGATAAGTGAAAGCTCAACTAGGAAATCAGCAAGTAAAAATATGTTTTTTATCCTTGGGGCCCTTTCTTACTTCCAGAGAAGAGGAAAGGGAAGTGAGTGTGACGGGTAGCGTAGTGAGGCGGGTCGCGAAGGTCATGGTTGCCAGAAGGATGAAAATTTCTTAGTAGAGGATGAGGACAAATTGTACCTGCGATGTTAAGGATTGCCCTGGAATGTTCGTTAGTTTGTAAATTCTTGCAGCGGAGTCCCAGGGGTTCCAGTTCGCTGGTTGCATTGTTCTTTGATTCATCATCGCTTCTGTTTTCAAACCATACCAAAAGTTATTATGTGGGTCCTGCAGAGTTAATAAAGCTTCACAAAAATGCATTGGTTGGCGAACAAAAAACATGTTGATAAAGAACCATTGACCAGGAGACCACTGCGGTTACGTGTTCTTGCGGTAAGCTGCTATTAGCTCGTTGCTCGTGAGGTGCGTTAAAAGCTGCCGCGACAGTTGTTTGGCTTACATCTAGGATCGTGACGTGGATTCTTGTCGCAAGCAAAGCTATTGTGCCAAATACTATGATTTTATTAATGTAGTACGAGTGGCAAAAACTTACGTGGCTTCTGTCCCAATTACTGTCGCAGTTATCATGATAACGGTTGAATTGACTATTGGCATTATCAGTATTGATAAACGGGTTGGGATGGTTCAGACCGGTGTTTGCTTGCATGGGCATTTGATTGCTATACGTCAGGCACTCGCAATTTGTAGTACCAGTGGTATCACTGCCTTTCGCTCTCCAATCAGGAGGCATCGGTTCTCTTGATGCCAGTGGTAATGGTGGTTGATGATTTTCTTGAAGTCGTGGGTTAAAAGCTGTCTGTACTAACCACGGGTTTTCTTGCGATTCCTGAATTGAATGAGCTGGCTGCGTGAGAGCATTGGATTTGATATTCTTCGACGGTAGTAGTCCCCATAGTGGAGAATTTTGCGAATGACCACTGTCTCGTTGTCCATCTCTAGAGTGGACCACGTATGCGTCAGGAAATACTGGACCATGTTTTGCTGAGAATCCTTTGGGAGCAGTCGTGCGGAAATCAGGATTCTCCGTTTGCTGGTGAGCAAATAGGAATTCGGTGTGAACCGGTGGCTGTTCATTCGGGAGCGATTGCACTCGATGATCCACTAGGCTCCCACTGTTAGGAACATTTTGTCCACAAAAATTTGTTAGGTTATCCAGTTTTGAGTATTCGAAACGATTTTCTAAGTGACTGTGATGGTCTGAGACAAGGCGTTGATTTTGCAAATCTAGTGCCCTTGCTGCATAGTATAAATCACGCTCTGTGTCCTGCAATAAAAATAAATATTGTTCTTGCGACCAAATATAATTCTGATAGAAAGTGAGGCCACTCGGGCGCCTCCGAACTGAAGGAACACACGCACTGACAGGCAGTGGGTGCTAACTGGAGAAAGTAAGTCAGATTCAGAGGACCTAAGATAGGATGTGGGAGTAAATACTCAATTGAGGTTCACATTAATAATCCGGGAGGTCTTGGTGTACTTGATATTATGTATTGGAAAAGTATCGCCAATTATGGAACGGAATGCGCATTGTTTGTGGTAACTATTGTAGATACTCCTAGTATTTTCCGGAGTCTGCGGATAACACTCTTAGGCAAGCAGTGTAATAGATAATAGTCACGATTCAAAGGGTTCAGAGACAGTGAACGTGTTTACCGGCCTTCTCAACACTCCCTAGCGGGGCGATGCTAGGCCTTGAGAGCGAGTGGC